GTTTTGAGCCAAAGTGTCTGATTCCAAGAAAACTGGCCTGCTGAGTCATCTGGAAGCCACACACCTCACATCAGGGGCTCAGAAAGAGTCTGAAGAGTTAGATCCCCTTTTTATTTCTCCTCAACCAAACAGAAGCATCACTGTAACTCTAAGGCCCACCCAGCCCAGGAACTGGCCGAGGATTTTATAGTCAAAGTCTCCCTGATGCCAGGCTGCTCTCCTAGATGGGGATTCTGAGGGGGTGACCTGGAGCCTCGGCATCCCTGGCTGGCCAGAGACACGTCTCTCGGGTCTGGTCCCTTTGACCACCAGGAACTTTCCCAGACCTCAGACCAGGCCGAGAAGAGGAGGGGTGGGTCAGCCTGGAGCACTTCCCACTGGCCAGGCACTCTTCAGATATGACCTCATTTCATACAACAACTTACTAGGGAGGTACTTTTATAATTGTCTCTATTTTACAGTTGGAGAAGCTGAAGCCGACTGGGTAAGTAATGTGCTGGTTCTCAGCGTAAGTGGCACACCTAAGCGTCTAGTTCAAAGCCTATGCCCTCAGCCATCAGGCTGTGCTGCCCAGCCTGGGGGGCAGGAAACCTGGGTCAAAGTCCAGACTACGTGCAGCCTTCATTCATTCAACGGCATGCACTGAGTCTTTGCTATGTGTGCAGCATTTCTCCGGGCTCTGAGATTCATGGCTGGGTGCTACAAATCTTCTGCTGGACCTTGACCCAAGCAAGAGTGTGGAGCAAGCAGGCTGGCTGCTCATGGGAGGTGACTGAGGGCAGGCCTGTTGTTCTCACCTGGGGCAACCTGAGGGAGGTATCCTGATCCATGCTATAGACATCAGGGCTAGTGGCCCTCTGCAGGGCAGGAGAAGCAGCAAGCACTGAAGCTGGGGCAGATCCCTGCCCTTGGGTAGCTTATGTTGTAGTTTGAGGACACAGGCAATGATCACAAACAAATAAATGAGATAACTAAGATGGATATAAAGGCCTAAATGAAGTAAAACAGGGCAATGAGATTGTTATGGACTGAACTGTGCTCCCAAAAGAGTCATACATTGAAGTCCTAATCCCCAGAATGTGGCCTTATTTGGAGACAGGGTCTTTATTGAGATAATGGAGAGATCATTAGAGATAATTAGAGTGGGCTCTAACCCAATATGACTAGTGTCCTTATAAAAAGAGGAAATTGAGAGACAGACATGCGCACCCATGAAGATAAGGCGAGAGGTCAGAGTGAGGTTTCTACGAGCCAAGAGAGCCAAAGATGGCCAGAACCCAGCAGAAGCTAAGAGACGGGCATGGGGCAGATCCTCCCTCAGAGCCCCGAGAGGAACAAACCCCACTGACACCTTCTTCCTCTTGGATATCCAGCCGCCAGAACTGTGAGAAAATGCATGTTGTTTAAGCCACCCAAGTTTGTGGTGCTTTGTTATGGAAGCCTTGGCAAACTAATGCAGGGGCAAAGGGTGTCCAGGGAAGAACAGGAGTTCTTTAGCTAATGGACTGGGTGAGGTCCGTCTGAGGAGGTGGCATTTGGGCTGAGACCTAAATGTTAAGGAGACGGTCCTCATGCGAAGAGCTGTGGAAGATCCACACCCCAGAGCTGGAAACAAACTTGGTGTATCTGCGGGAGAGATGGATGCATGTGTGCCTAGAGTAGGGGTGGCGAGAGCGGGGAGGATCCAGGTGAGGGAGACGGAAGGCAAGGGGCTAAAGTAGGTAGCGCCACATGGGACATGCTGAGAGCTTGGATTATACACTAGCAGCAGTGGGAAACCTCTGGAAGGAGTGACTTGAGAGCCATTTTTCTCTTTTAAAGAGAAAAGGCTACTCTGGAAAAGGGACTTGGGGGCTGAATTGGGGGGACCAGCTAAGAAGGGGAGCTCACATTCAGTTGAGAAATGAGTACCTTTGGCTGAAGAGGAGAGTGGTCTGGTTGGTGATAAATTGGAGAATGCTTATGGTTGGAGAACCTCAACAGGATGAGAGGAAAAGAGAGGCATCAAAGATGACCTCTAGAATTTCAGTCTGAGCAACTACGAGAACAGGGTGCTTTTCCCACCAGAAGAATGAATGGAGTAGGGGTAGGGGGGTTCTTGAAGGACAAGACAGCCGAATTCCATCTAATATTTACAGTTGACCCTTGAACAATATGGGTTTGAACTGCATGGGTTCACTTATATGCAGATTTTTTCCAACAAATGTATTGGAAGAATTTTTGGAGACTTGTGACAATTTTGAAAAAACATTTCTTTTCTCTAGCTTACTTTATTACAAGAATAGGGTATATAATACATAACACATACAGAATATGTGTTCATCAACTAAGTTATTCTTAAGGCTTCAGATCAACGGTAGCTAGTTACCAGTTAACTTTTGGAAGAGTCAAAACTAGTATGTGGGTTTACAACTGCCTGGGGGATTGGTGTCCCTAAACCCCTCATTGTTCAATAGTCAAACATAGAAAATGAGGCCAAAACGAAGATTATAGAGACACAGTTCCTATCCTAAAACTTAGAGCCTGAGGGAGACAGACATATAAACCAATATAACAGGTCAGTGGGTGAAGCAGCTGGCTACTCACAGCTACTGGGAAAGTTGAACAAAGGAGGAAAAGTTTTTGTTTCGTTTCCAAAATAATTACAGACTTACATAAATGTTGTAAAAATAGTACCAAGAATTCCTGAATACCCATCATCTAATCTCCCTAAATGTTAATACCCTACAAATTTACAATAGTACCATGATCAAAACCGGGAAATGAATACTAGCTACAAACCTCATTCCAATTTTATCCATTGCTGCACTAATGCCTTTCACCTGGCCAAGGAGCCAATCCAGGATCATACAGAGCTTTCAGTTGTCATGTTTTCTTGGTCTCTCCTCTAGTCTAGGATAATTCTTTAAGCTCACTCATTCCTGACCTTCATACTTTTGAAGAGGACTAGCCAGGGAGTTTGCAGAATGTCCCTTAATTCGGATTTGGCTGGAGTTCCCTTAGGTTGTATATTTTGACAAGGACACCACAGAACTGATGTTTTTCCCTTTCTCACTGCATCACATCAGGAGGCACATGAGACCAATACATTGTTTACTTTTTATGTTGATCACTTGGTAAAGTGTTATCTGCTAGGTTTTACCTCTGTGAAGTTACTATTTTCCCCTTTGCATGGGGTAATCCTTTGAGATGATGTAATGATTATGTAAACATCCTGTTTTTCATATTTTCACCCACGAATGTTTGTTTCCATTGATGTTTTTCTTGCTTAAAACAATTATTACTGTGGGTGTTTGCCAAATGGTGGTTTTCTGTTTCCATCATGCCTTCTAACATTCATTAATTGGAATTTTACTTTAAGAAAGAGCTGTCCCTTTTCTCATTTATTTATTTAGATATCTCTAACAGTATAGGCTCATCATCTCTTATTTTACCCTTATTCTCTAAGTTATAACCTATTGTGATCATTGTTTCTTTTGTTGCTCAAATTATCTCAAATTTGGCCATTAGGAGCTTCTTCTAATTGGCTCCTGTGTTCAAGAAGAGAGTTTTGAGTCATAAATGAGGCATAGGGACTTGTAGGGAGGAGGAAGGGGACAGGCTTCCAGGTCTGAAGGAGTCCTGAGGGCAGCCACGGGCGTGCATCCAGAGCTCGCTGAGGGTGCTGCCTGGCCCCTGGGCTGGCTATTCCTGGCCATGGGGGCCTGGAAGTTGCAGCCACTGCCTTGCTCAGGAGAAGAGACCTCCACTGTGTCCCCTACCCCCAGCAGGACTTCTCTGGGGAGCAGTCCTCTGGGGCTGCGGCTGCTACACAGATTTTCAGCGCTTGGGCCATTAATGCACCCGTCTGGACTTGCTCCAGAGGGGCCCTCTGCAGCCACTTCCTGCCTGCCCCTGCTGTGCCACCTTGGCCGTCACCCAGGGCCGTGCTGTCCTGCTGCTCAGCCAGGGCAGAAGGGTGTTCCCTTGGCGTCGCTGCCTGAGAGCTTGGGCCAGGTGGTGGCGAGGCTCTCAGAGCTGTGGAGCACCAGAACCACATGCCCTGGAGATTGTCTAGATCTAGATACTGTTTTGACTGGCTTGTTGTCGTTTTTCTAATCCAGGCCTCTGTGAAGCCTTGGGGGGATGCCCGAGAGGTAAAACAGGTCCAGGTGGGAGAAGGGGGCAGGAGAGTGACAGTTGGTCCAAGCCCCCATTGACAGGAATGGAGCTGGGCCCCAAAAGGAAAATGACTTATCTAAGGTAACAGGGAGAGTTGGTGGCTAGCCAGGACTAGGATCCAGTGTTAGGAATCCTCATGTCCTTGTCACCAACAGTTCTCGTTTCTTAACCACTGAGGCCACAGTCTGAGTTTACTTGTCCATTTCCCCTGTTTCCCTGGCAGGCAGAGGTGCAGAGCTGTCTTCTGGCCCCTTTCTGGGGCAGGGCCTCAGGCTCCCGGGCAGCACTGTCCCCTCACCCAGCTGTCCTGGGTCGATAAGCTAGTGCCAGGCTAAGGCCAAGTGCAGGCCCACCTTGGGACCTCTCCTGGCTGGAGGCCCCTGACCGCACCCAGACCCAGCACAAGGGGCTTAGATCCCACCACCCCCTCCCCTTTCTCTCCTTCTTCCATTGGTTCAGTATTGGAAATAGGGCTCACTTTTTTGCTCTTTTAAGTTTCCAATTGAACTGAAAGATAAATTTAACATTCATGATTCAAATTTGAAAAATTGCAAAAGTTATACCCTGAAAGAAGTCTGCTTCCTGACTCTGGCCTGTGGACATCCCCTCCCCAGGGGCAATCACTGCGGTTCATTTCTTGGGCAGCTTTCTGGAGATCGTCTCTGGCAGGTCGGCAAGTATTTTCCGTAGAGGTCCGGATCATAAGTACTTTTGGCTTTTTCGGCCATAAGGCCTCTTCCGGGCTGCTCACCTCTGCTATTGTAGTGGGAAAGCAAACATGGATAATATACCAATGCATAAATGCGGCTGTGTTCTAATAAAATTTTATTTATGGACACTGAGTTTTTTCATGTATCACAAAATACTGTTCAGTTTTTTCCAAAATTTAAAAATGGTTTTAAACATGGTTACCCCGCCACCTCATGTCACAGATCTATGCATTGAGCCTGGGAAATGTAGTTTCTTAGCTGGACACATTGCTACTCCTCAATATAGGGATTCTAAAAGTAAAGAAAAAGGGAGAGTAAGGAGAGGGTGGGTAGTTAGCTGTCTCTGCCACAGCTGGGATAATCCAGGAAGACTTCATGAAGGCAACGGGCCACAGCAGATCAGGTAAGAGCTTACCAAGCACAGGACACTTTAAAGTATAGGTGAGGAGGCGAGGCTTCTCCTGTTGTCTGCAAGAGAGAAATTCCAGTTCCCATTGCTGAGAAAAGGAAATGAAACCTAAAGCCGCTCGTTAAGTCACAGAGTCACAGCTGGTAAACAGCAGTCGAGATTCAAACTCCAGAATCCACCAGACTCCCTCCTCCCTCCCAGGCACTTCTCCCAGGCTCAGTGAGGAAGAAAAGAGGCTGAGACACAGGGAAGCTCTCAGTGTGTTCCCAGGACAGAACTCTGACAAGGCTCAGAAAGAAAAGGGAATGGAGACTCCTGGATTGCTCCAAGTGGGAATTTTTGAGCATAGAGATATCTTCATTTAATTACTTTAGTTACTTAATTCCCAGAATAATTTAATGTTTTACACTTAAAAAAAAAAGCATTAACATGAAATGAAGGTCAAAAATCAAAGGGGAAAAGAGGACATGTTGGGGACTGAGAGCACCTGTTGTTGGGGACCCCAGAGACAGGGTAAGGGAGAGGGTGGGAGGCTGACCCAGGCTGCCAGAACAAGCAGAGCAGGGGAGCAGGTGGGCCTCTGCTCAGGACAGGCTTCCTGCTGCTCTGGACGGCAGCCAGCGGTCTGCCATCTGTCAGGAGCTGGGCGGAGGCCGCATGCGTGAGGAGCATGACCAGGCTGCTCCGAGTCCCGGGAGCATTCTGGCCTTGGGAGGACTGGCCAGCTGCAAAGCTCTGGGTACTGCCTACGGTTACATTCCTGCCCTCCCGGTCCCCCGTTGCTCAACAAGCAGGAAAGACACTCAACTGCCCCGCCCCCCGCCTCCCAGTCCCCTGCCAAAAGTGGTGCTCCCTGACCAGGGAAATCCTAAGGTGTAGAGTTTCACCCCAGATTTCATAGCTGAGGGGTTAGAGCGTTCCCCAGGGGCACCTGGGCGCCGGAGCAACTGCTGTGGCCGAACGCCCCCTCTAGGCAGGAGCTGGGACTGCAGTTACCTGCTAACCTCATTAACGTAATTATTGCTATTGTCGTTCAGGTCTGGAAGATGATGGCGCCATTAACTAAATCTGGAACATGGAAGGTGGGACGGGTTGGTGGGGTAGCAGGGGAGGCTGGAGATAGTTATTGTCGCTTCAAAGAGAAAGTGGAGCCCGTCCCTGACCTCAATCAGTAAATGCATAATATAAGTGAAAATGGGAAACAGAATGAACTATATTCCAACAATGCATGGATTTCAGTACCTAGGGCTCCGTTAAGCCCCACGATATGCTCAGCATGATTCTAAACTGACAAATATATGAGAAGTAGAGTAAAAAGCCAGCTAACCCAAACACTGCGAGATTGTGGCAGGTGAACTTTCTGGACATTTGAAAATTTACCATCCCCACCCACTCTAAGGACTTTAAAAAAAAAATGTTTTAGATGAAATTTTTTTTAACACTATGTTCATCCCTGGCTTCTTAGAGGTTAGTGAACATGTTTTCATTGTGAGCATCGTCTGCACTGCTGTCCTGTGATATGATCGTGTCTCTGGAGGTCACATGTGTGTGTATGTGTGTTGGGGGGGCGCTGTTTGCTTCCACACTATACGGTCCTGGGCACTATTTTGTTTTCACATCTGCTTTTGTGCTTTTCCTAGTCATTCCCTCACTGTCAATCTTTATGTGTGTTAATTTCTCCTGCTTTTTTGCTTTCACTTTATTGCTTCTAACTAATCTGCTCTAGGTTTGTAGACCGGATATAAATGGTTTATCTTTTATAGCCCATCTTAGCCCAAAATGGAATTAAGGGCCCTATTAAAATGCATCAAGTATCTACTATGCGTTGGACATTTTACTAACTGTTTTGCAACCATTATTTCATTTTTCACAACAGCCCTATGAGTTGTAAATTTTTATCTCCATTTTATAGATGTGTACACTGGTGCTCAGAGAGTTTGAGCAACTTGCCCAAGGTCACACAGCTGCTAGTGATGAATGTCAGGGGCAGAATTCAAATGCAGCGTGTCTGGCACAAGGACCACCCATGCTTTGCCCTCTATGCTTGACTGCTCTGGGTTTGCAGTTAATCGCCTGCTGTTTCCTATTGCTTGTTACCGTATTGAGCTGCAATAGTTTTATCTCCCTAAATAGAACATAAGCCCCTCAAAGGCAGTGACCTGCCTGCCGACTTATGTACTGCCCACACCATTTGCTGGGTGCCAGGATTCCAGGTGGTCAGCACCTGCTTTGCGAAGAGTGAGAGCCTGGAACAGTGGGGGCCAGAGAATGGCCGTTGCTTCCTCCACCCCAACACCTCATACCCCTCCCTGCTACCTACACTTTCACCACCAGGCCTTCACTCAGCATGCTGAGCAGAACGCTCCGTCTGCGTAAAGCCCAAACCTTCCCGTAGTTTACACCAGCAGCCTAGGAAGCACCCCCGCGTGGGCCACTGTGGCTCAGGAGGAAGAACTGGCTGGCCGAGGCAGCCTGGGGTCTCCCTGGGGACCCACACAGAGGCCACGCCCAAAGGAGACCCCATGGCTAGTAGCCCACTAGACTGCCTTTGGGTCCAGGATTTTTGCTAAAGAAATTCTAGAGCTGCTGCCTCTGAGGAAACTCCTTCATACAGATTCTTTCCTGAAAGGAGAGTCACTGGAGGTCCAGTGGATTGGTCTTTCCAACCACAGCAGAAAGCAGGCCAGCATCCCAGGAGGGCTGATTCTGCTAAGTAATGCTCGCTCTGAATCTTGGCTCTGTGACTAAAACTTCGAAAAAAACTGTTCCATCACATGACTTATGGATTTCATCGTGACAGGACGGTTTCTGTTTGTGTTTGGTTCTCTGTCACAGACACTGAGCTCAGTTGGGGAAACCCCGCCCCCTCATGGGACCTGAGCGCTCAGGCTACATCATGTGACACAGTTGCCTGCCAGCCCAGCATTTCTCCAGGTGACATCACACCCTTGCTGATTACCCAGGTGTTTCATGGCCTCCCAGGGCTGACATGGAATTTGCATCATTTCTGATACTTGGCTCTTGATTTGTTTGTCTGTGGTTAATAGTACATCTGGACTAGGGTCAAAGGAAGTGGTTGAGACAACCAGACAGCAAACACGTGCTGCAGAGAGCTTGGCGGGACTGGGACCTGGAGCTTCTGGCCCATCCCCCAACCCAGGAGCCATCTCTGGTCTTCTGGGCTCAGACCTGAGGTGGAGGGATTGCTGGCCCAGCCCCTCTTGCGTAAGTCCAGGGTCTTACCTCGGATTTGGAACCTCTTTGTACCCGTCTCGAAGACCCAGGGCCGGGCGCAGGTGAGCCTTACAGTTTTCTGTGCCTCTTTACTCATTTCCCCCTCTTCTGAGGGGGAGTCCCCTCCTCCCCTCTGCTCTGACCACTTGCCTAGAGTCAAAGCCCAGCCTTCTCACCCTCTCACTGGCTGTGGGTCCCTGAGCAAATCACTCCACAGACCTATGGAGGGCCAGGCTGAGGGGCTCTGCAGAGCCCCACCACCCTCACATTACCTGTGGGAAAGGAGACAGAGGCCAGCAGGGCGACTCCTTCACCCCTTCGCCCACCACCACTTTCCAGCACACCGCCACCTCTGGCTTCAGTCTGTCCATCTGCCAAGGGATGGGAAATGAGTCCCATTCCCCCAACCACTGCATGAACACTGGCACCAGCTGGATTTGCGAAAGGGCACATTACCCCCTGGCTCCAAAGGTTCTCAAATTTGAGGGCAGCTCAGAATCCCCTGGGGGTCTGTCAAGATGCAGAGAGCTGTCTCCCTCCACTCCCAGGGTCTCCGGATCAGTGGGTCAGGGTAGGGTCAGAGGATTTGCATTTCTAACAAGTTTTCAGGTAATGCAGATGGTTCAAGAACCCCAAGCTGAGAACCACTGCTGTAAATGACTTAGCTCTGGACACAGCTCTACTGTCAGCCAAAAGGAGTGGCAGGCAGTGTGGGTGGGGGATTGGCTCAAACTGGCTCTAGGAAGTTGGTAGCTTGAAATTGGCCATGATGAGCGTATGCATACCTAGGAAATAAGCAAAGCTATAAACCAAGAGTATTTTGCTCAGAGAGCTGGTTGTTAAGCATTTACCAGCACACCACAGGCTAAGAGTGTGTCCTTTCTCTTCCTTTTCTGGGGTGTTGGACCTCAGAAACTGGACAGGAAAGCTCAACAGAATTCTCTGTGGCTCCATTTTCTTGTCTGTAAATTGGAAACAACAAGAGCATCTACCTCACTGGGCCACTAGAATTAAGAAAATACATTTGAATCACTGAGCAAACCTACACCGCGAAGAGTAAATTTGAAAGATGTTAGCTATCATCACTCAGATCCTTTGGATTGTAGGGATCTGTGTATGTTCTTCCTACAAGATTATAAAGCTCTCTATAACTGGGCACCAGGAGGGGTGGAGACCATGCCATCCTGAGCTTGGCAGCTGGGACTGTCTCTAGTACAGTCTTCTGGGGGCCGCCCCGCAATGCCCAGCATGTGCCCAGCGTCTGGGTCTGTATGGGTGACAGCCCTGCGCACAGCAGCTCACACTGGGTGCCCTGGGGGCTCTCCACGTTTGTGTCCTGGAACCTTGGGCCTAGAAGCGAGAGCCAGCCTGTAACTCACCATGTGAAGGTCACTGGGGCCAGCAGGCTCTCACTGGCTGGGTCCCCAGCAGCTGGAGGCACCAAAGACAGGCTGCGAAGAGAAAGGGTAGATGAGATGGGCAGAGGCAAGCAAGAGAGGGAGGTAGAGAAAGAGCCCCAGGAACACCCTGCTTCTGAATTAGGGTCTTTTAAAGTTCCCCTGCTATCCCACCCTGAGCCTACATCCTCACACCCAGCATCCCCTTTGGCCTATGTGAGACCAAGTTGCTCTCTGTTAGTTACAACCTAAGGGGCCGCCCTACCCACCTACTCCCCTCTCTGTGCACAGCCTGCTCCATCTCCTGCAGCATAGGCCCACCCTGCCCTCTGCAGGCCTTGGGCAGGACTCTGGGCCTCTTCCTCAGTGCACGCTTTGCATGTGACCTGGGGTGGGAGCAAGCCTCCTTTTGCATTTTCCCTGTTACATAACTAGAAGTAAATATTTCCACCATCAGCTACTCAACATACCACTCCCCGCTGAAGGCCCTTGAGCAGCTGCCCATCGCTCTGGTATCGCAGCTCTCCTTTCCTGGGTAGGGGGTGCTGCGCGGGCCTCCCCTCGCCTCTCTCGGCACCTCTCTCCGGCCTCCACTCTCAGCCCTTCTTATTCACACTTGACTCTGAGCCATACTGACCTGCTGGTATGTCCTCTCTGGCTTCTCTCTGCATAGAATAGAATTTCCCCAAGTTTACAGCCAACTGCCAGCCATTCTCCAGGCATGCCCTCACATGCCGCCTCACCGACACAGCCTGGCTGCCCTGCACCCCGGCTCCTGGGGCCTTGCAGCGCTCCCACCTCCCCATCACTATGCAGTGGCCTGCTTGGTAACCCAGGTCCTTTGCTGCACTGCGAGTTCTCAAGGGCAGGTACCAGGTGTCTGCCCCCGTGTTCCCCAGAGTAAGTGCTCAGTGAAGGGTTATGTAAATGACTTGAAGAAAGTGAGCTCTGGGAAGACCCCAGTGCTCACGACTCCAGCGGCCCCCACCATTGTGCATGGTGACCTCTGGAAAATCCAAAGGGAGGAAAAGGAGAGC